AAACTCAAATATATATATATATATATATATATATATATATATATATATATATATATATATTTTTTTTTTTTTTTTTTTTTTTTTTTTTTTCCTGGGCCCTATCCCACACTCCTGGGCTAAGCAATCCTCCCACCTCAGCCTCCCAAAGTGCTGGGATTACAGGTGTGAGCTACCGTGCCTGGTTTCTCCAGGAGATTTTGATGCAACTGGGTTTTGGAATAACATTTCAAACTGGTGTGGTAGAGCACACATTCACTGCCAGCTGCAGGTGGCCAAAAATACCTCTCTACTCACATCCCCAGGTCTCCACAGGTCTTACATAAGCAATATCTGGGCACAAAGGAGTGGTTGTAATGGTGACCCCCTTCAAGCATGAAAGCAGGCCAGCAGGGGCAAGGGGCATCTCAAATCCCACCCCCTTTTGCAATTTACAAAGCCCTCTCACATCGGCTTCTCACTGACCCTGGGAGGGGCCAGAGGAAGTTCAGAGACCCAGAAGGGGCAGTAATCAGCCTGTGGTCTCACAGAACAGAGTCAGGAAGCTGAGATCTGTCACATGGCCCGGATTTGCCCTAAATCCAGTGTCCATTCATGATGGACTAGCCAACAGCTATAATTTACTGGTTCCTTGTTATAGCCCGGCACTGTGCCAAACACTACATGATCTCACTTCATTTTTCTAAAAACCTTATAGGGCAAATATTATTATTATTATTGAGTTGGAGTCTCACTCTGTCGCCCAGACTGGAGTGCAGTGGCACGCTCCCAGCCACCGCAGCCTCAACCTACTAGGCTCCGGCGATCCTTCCGCCTCAGCCTTCCAAGTAGCTGGAACTACAGGCGTGCACTACCATGCCCTGCTAGCTTTTGATTTATTGTAGAGACGAGGTCTTGCCAAGTTGACCGGGCGGGTCTCGAACCCGCAGGCTCAGGCAATCCTCTTGCCTCGGCCTCCCAAAGTGCTGGGATTACAGGCTGAGCCACTGAGCCCGGCCAGTATTATTATTATAGTACTATATACACGTAGAAACAGAAGCTCAAAGGGTTATGTAAGTTGCCCAGGGTCACATGGAAATTATCTCACATCAGAGCTCTGCTCTAAACCATGATGTTTTTCTATCTGCTTCTCAGTCTCTGAGGGGCACCTAACCATGTAGCAGAGTGCTTTAGACTCCTGAGCAAGAGCTGCTGTGGAGTGGTCTTGATTCCAGCTCTGCTACCCAGAGGCAACATGTAAGCACTTACAAAAATATTTCTCCTTACTAGTATTATAAAGTGCTAATGAAAACCAGGAGTTGGCCGGGTGCAGTGGCTCAAGCCTATAATCTCAGCACTTTGGGAGGCTGAGGTGAGAGGATTGCCTGAGGCCGCAGTTTTGTGACTGCTTGGGCAACATGGTGAGACCTTGTCTCTACAATAAATTAAAAAATTAGCTGGGATAGCACTTGCCTGTAGTTCCAGCTACTTGGAAGGCTAAGGTGGAAGGATTGCTGGCGCCCAGCAGGTCGAGGCTGCGGTGGCTGGGAGCGTGTCACTGCACTCCAGCCTGGGTGACAGAGTGAGACTCCAACTCAAAAAAAGAAAGAAAGAAAAGAAAACCGGGAGTTATAACTTCCTTCTAATAAGTTTTTTTGTTTGTTTTTTTGTGAGTTGGAGTCTCACTCTGTCGCCCAGACTGGAGTGCAGTGGCTGGCGCAGCCTCGACCTGCTGGGCTCCGGCGATCCTTCCACCTCAGCCTTCCGAGTAACTGGAACTACAGGCGTGCGCTACCACACCCGGCTGATTTTTTATTTATTTATTGTAGAGATGAGGTCTCGTCAAGTTGCCCAGGCGGGTCTTGAACCCGCGGGCTCAAACAATCCACCCATCTCGGCCTCCCAAAGTGCTGGGATTACAGGCTGAGCCACCGAGCCTGGCCCCCTCCTAATAGGTTTTTAAATGATGGCACTTAGCTGGATGCAATGGCTCACTCCTGTAATCCCAGTACTTTGGGAGGCCAAGGCAGGAGGATGGCTTGAGCCCAGAGTTCGAGACCAACCTAGGCAATATAGTGAGACCTTGTTTCTACAAAAAAGCCAAAAAATTAAAAAACAAAAATAAAATAAACAAAACAAAACAACTTAGCTAGGCAAGGTGGTGCATGCCTGTAGTCCCAGCTATGCGGGATGCTGAGGTGGAAGAATCACCTGAACCCAGGAAGTCAAGGTGTAATCATGCCACTGCACTCTAGCCTGGGTGACAAAGTGAGAACCTGACTGAAAAAAAAAAAAAATATGATAGCTCCCAATTCTGGTGAAGACAGTGAAAAGGACATTTACATATACTATGTATAGGGATAAATTAATTCAACCCTTTGGGGAAAAAATTTGGCAAAATGTATAAAGAACCATAAAAAAGTTCACATTTCTTGTCTCAGTAATTCCACTTCTTGGGTACCTCCCCTATGAAAATAGTCAGAAATATATAAAAATGAACACCTGCCAGATGTGGTGGCTCACGCCTGTAATCCTAGCACTTTGGGAGGCAGAGGCAAGGGGATTGCCTAAGCTCAGGAGTTCGACACCATTCTGGGCAACTTGGCAAGACCTCATCTCTACAATAAATAAAAAAAATCAGCTGGGGGTGGTGGCGCATGCCTGTGGTTCCAGCTACTTGGAAGGCTGAGGTAGAAGAATTGCCTGAGACCATCAGGCTGCGGTGGCCATCAGTGTGTCAGTGCGCTCCAGCCTGGATGACAGAGTGATATCCTGACTCAAAAAACAAAAAACAAACAAACAAAATGAACACTTTTCTGAACCAAAGTAACCTATACCATAGTAGATATCTGTATCTGGAGATCAAGAAAAGCAAATATAACGATACTCAAATGTAAACTGCCTTTTTTTTTGAGTCCAGGTCTCACTCTGTAGCCCAGGCTGGAGTGCAGTTGTATCATCACAGCAATCACAACTCATGGTAGCTTTGACCTCCTAGGTTAAAACAATTCTTCTGCCTCAGTATTTCTGAGTAGCTGGACTTCAGGCATGCACCCCCACAACTGGCTAATTTTTAATGGTTTTTTTGTAGACACGAGCTTTAGCTAAGTTGCCCAGGCTGGTCTCGAACTCCTGGACTCAAGCAATCCTCCCACCTCTGTCTCCCAAAAGTGCTGGGATTACAGGAATGAGTCACTGTACTTGGCTGTAAACTGTTTTTGATAAGAATTTAAATGAGAAAAGCAGAGCATAAAATTTTTTACATTCTAATATTACTGCTATATGTAAATATGCAATAAAAAGACAAAGAGAAAATGCATTGACATGCTAAAAATGATTTCAGCAGTTTTCCTCAAATTAAAAAAAAAAGGATTTATATAGACAAAACTTGCATAAGATAGAAGTCAGAGTACTGGTAACTTTAAAGATATTGACTGGGAAGGGGTATATGGGATGCTGGAAATGTTCTAGATCTATCTGGATGTTGGTTGCTTTATATATATAATATAATTAATACATATGATATATATCATTGTGCAATGAAGATGTATATATTTTGCTGTACATATCTTATACTTCAATAAAATCTTATTAATGTATTATATATTATTTTATTTTATTTTATTCTTTTTTTTTCTGAGTTAGAGTCTCATTCTGTCTCCAGGCTGGAGTGCAGTGACATGTTCATAGCCAGTGCGGCCTTGACCTGCTGGCCTCAGGCTATCCTTCGCCTCAGCCTTCCAAGCAGCTGGAACCACAGGCGTGTGCCACCATGCACAACTAATTTTTTGATTTATCGTAGAGACAAGGTCTTGTCATGTTGCCCAGGCTGGTCTCGAACCTGTGGACTCAGGCAATCCTCTTGCCTTTGCCTCCCAAAGTGCTAGGATTATGGGTGTAAGCCACTGCACCTGACTGTGTTATATTGTTTTCACTGTAAGAAGTATAACAGAATTTTTAAAAAGAAAGCCATTGGGGAGAAATCTGCAGGTGGTAAAGAGGAGAGAGAGAGGCCGAAGCAGGCTTCCTGCTTGGGAGAAGGAAGGAGGAAGGAGGGAAGGGAAAAGACTTGTTCACGCCATGTTCTCAGGTCCCCTCCCAGCTCCTGGGAGGCAGGAGATGCACTCCCTACTTGGCAGAGTAGTCCTGAATCTCAGCGAGGCCAAAGGACTTGTCCAGGCTCCCAAATGATGGGTGGATTAGTGTCTGGAAATGGCTCCCTCCATCTGTCCAGACCTGTCTACATGCCTCTGCCCTGCTGTCCCCAGGAGAAGTTGACCTAGGAACAGGCTGGGACCTGTTCCTGTGTCCCTTGTGCTCCTCTTGCCTGACGCCCTCAGGAAGAGTTGGGGGCTTACCCAGGGCTGTCTGCACCATCAGGCAGAGGGTGAGGCTCAAACACAGAATCTCCCTCATATTCCAGCCAGCTCTTGCCACAGGCAGGAGTGATGTCAACATGGGATGTCAGATGGTAGCTGTCTGCAGTGTGTGAGTACCAGGCAGTCACACTTTTATCTTCCCTTAGTCCCTGCCAACAGGTACTGGGGTGGGAGGAATTGTACCAACTTCTGACCAATCCACAGCCTTGTCTCTGCCTTGGGCGATAGGTCACACTAGATGGTCTTGGCTCTTCAAACAAACTGACCAGCTTGCAATCTCTTCCCAGTTTGCTCTTATGTGCATTGGCTTAAAGTTGAGTTCATGTGAGTCAAGCTCTGAGTACATAGTAGGCACAAAGACTGAAGCAGAGCACCTGGTTACTTGACCCCTCAGCCAAGATTTCTTCTATGGATTTAAGGGCCTTGAGTCTCCCCGTTTCCCTCTGCCTTGTCCAATATCTTCCTTGCCCTTCCTCACACATCTCAGCCAGAGTCATCATGGAGTGGCGACTCTGCTAGGCATAGGCGACTCTGCCCTCACAGGCTCACAGTTCAGTTGGGGGAGCCAGACCTGGAAGCAACTATGATATAGGAGCCCAAAGAGGTACCTGGTGAGCACCTCTGGGTGGTTGGGGTAGGAAGGGAGTTTCCCTGGAATAAGATTTAATCGCTAAATAAAGGCCCTGTGTGATGTTTAGAGCCCCGGGAGCAAGTGTTGGAGAATTGGAGGGAAAAAGGCAGTTCCATCTTCAATCAAAGATAAGACCATTCCCTGTCTCCACCAAAGTCTGGAGTCCTGGTCCAGTTTTGAGAAAGGGGAGTCTGGTGGGCTTCTGAGCTGGGGAGGGGAAAGGCAGGGGAGCAGGGTACTTCTCACTTGACCTGTAGCCTCTTGCTCTGTAGCCTGGTGGATCGTTAAGACGTATTCCTTCTCTCAAGTGGGAGACTTTACTTGGGACCCCTCTGTCACAGTTCCCTTCCTCAGTCCTAAGAAATGGACCCAATCGTTGTTGCTTGGGCTCTATGCCCCTTTAAAGAAGGCCTGAGATTGGTCCAAGGTGATGCTTGTTATTCATTCTACAGGGTCTATCCGGGCAACCCTCCAGTGTTCCTTGCCCTGCTCTGGCAGGGGTATGGCCCATCCCACTGCAACCCCCTTGATGACCTCACTCACTATGGTAGGGTAGGGTCAGGCTCTGTTTGGCTGAGCCTTCCCATGATGGGCTGCACCACTTATACCCCTACATGGTCTCATGAAAAAGATGCCCATGGGCTTGAGGGGAAGGAAGTGGGGCGAGAATTCTCACTCAGCAAGACAACAGCTCTTTCCAAAGAAAAGCTCTGCTCTAACTCCTCTCCAGCATAACACTCTCCTTTTCAAGTCTTGAATGACTGAGGGGCCCAGGAATTGTGGAAACGGTCCTCTGACTATTTTCTAGAAAATTCTCATCTTCAGAAATGGCTTGAAGACTTCAAATCCATAGCATTCTGGGGTCTGGGATGACATCAATATTCCTCCCTGTTATACCCTTACTGTTGGCAAGGTAGATATCTTCACCTTCTAAGTCTTCAGATGGCTGGTGTGTGATTGTTGCACCCTTTGCTCATTCAAGTCATTGAATGACATGGAGCAAGAGCCTTAAAACTGCCTGCATCCTTTGACCGATAAATTTGGTCTGGGAGACTATCCAAAACACATAACAAATTTTGTTTACATGCTGAGTGTCCTACAGCCTTGTTGACAACATCCTCAACCCAACACAACTGGAGGGGATGGGTGAAGAAAGGATGTTACAACTACAGAATATGATATATGCTACAGAATCAGTAGTAGTCTGTTCTGTAAGATTCCACAGCAGCTGATGGCTTAGGGGATAGTTCTGAGCCAGGTTGCCTGGGTTTGAATCCCAGTGCTACTACTTAATTGCTGTGTGACCTTGGGCAAATCATTTAACTTTTCTGAACCTCGGTTTCTTCATCTGTAAAATTAGTATACTAATAGTACTTACTTCACAGGATTTTAGTGAGAGTTAACTGGGTTAATGTAGGTAAATGCACTTTAAACACGGTAAGGCCCATTGCATCAGCTGTTGTCACAGTACCTAAGAAAAGGCTGATGTGGTTCAATAACTTGAAAAAGGTAGAATTTGAAATTGCATATTGAATATGACCAGATTAGTCATGAAAAGTACTCTAAAGATGTCTAAAGTAACAGGCAGGCAGGATTGATGCCAAAATGGTGTCTCTTGTTGGGCTGAGGTTGCAGGGTCATCAGCGACTTTCATTTTATTTTCTTCTCTCTTCTTTGCTTAAACTTTTCTGTATTTTTCATATTTTAAAAGATGAGCATTAAACGGAGAATTCACAGTCAGTGTGAGGTTTAAAGGGGCAGGGATGGGAGGATAGGGAGGGCAGAACCAGAAAAGTAGGGACTACCAGTGGCTCCATCTGGCCTGGACCACATCCCCATTTGTTGACTACTTTCCTCTCCTCATAGCCTTATTTCATTCTTCCAGGCTCCCCTGAGGGCTGTGGGCACATCAAGAGGCGTATGGATATCAGCATTAGAAAGTGAGGGAAGCCAGGCTCGGTGGCTCAGCCTGTAATCCCGCGCCTTTGGGAGGCTGAGGTGAGTGGATTGCTTGAGCCCGCAGGTTCGAGATCCGCCTGGGCAGGCGAGACCTCATCTCTACAATAAATCAAAAAATTAGCTGGGCATGGTAGCACATGCCTGTAATTCCGGCTACTTGGAAGGCTGAGGCAGAAGGATCGCCGGAGCCCAGCAGGTCGAGGCTGCGGTGGCTGGGAGCGGCCACTGCACTCCAGTCTGGGCGACAGAGCGAGACTCCAACTCAAAAAATAAAAAAATTAAAAATTAAAATAAAATAGAAAGTGAGGGAGATACTTGCCTCTGCTGCCAAGGCTCTGACAACGTTGGCTGAGCCACATGCACCAAGTACCCTGGAGTGTGTAAGTCAAAGCATGGGTAGAGAACATAAGAGGGCGGTGGAGAAGACAAGATTGCGAGTCCACCTGCCAGGCCTGACTCCCCCACCCGGCTGCGCAGCTTCTTGGCCAGTTGCGTGTGGGTCTCAAGGACCAGTTCTGCCAACAGCTGGCTCTACTGCCTCCTCTTCCCAGGGAAGAAGTAACCTTTCACCCAGCCCATAGCGGAAGCCGTTGTGCCAGGCCAGACGCCTCAGTAAAGTATCCAAGACACATGTGAGCCCCATCCAACGCTCACAGGGGGAACAGGGGAGATTGAATGGCTCTAGCCCTTATCTTACGGGTAAGAATCAGCTCTCAGAAAGCCTGGATGTTATTTTCCTAAGTCTTTTAGAGTTTTCTTGAGAACATTCCCAAGTTTCTTGGTTGAACAAAGGTAAAGGGAGTAATGCTGGGGAATGAGCACTTATCTCTGAGTCTGATGGATGTGGGCCCCAAGCTGACTTAATCTCTTACCATCCATGTGTCTCAGAGTACCTTTCTGAACCTCAATTGTCATACCTGTAAAATGGAGCTAGCAGTGACTAATTGTGAGGATTGTTGTGAGGATGAAACAAATTGTTATTAAGTACAGTGGCAGAACTACACTGAGCACACCACGCTGTGATGGCAATTGTGATGTTTGTGTAATTTCCCATATCTGTGGCCATTTTACTATTTAAAGAGGAAAGTTGTAATTATAAAAGACAGTGTAAATGCTTTTTCTCATTTTTTATCTTAACTGATTTAAAAAGCAATTGTATAAAATAATGCATATATAGTGTATTATTGGCTTATAACATATAAGAATATAATAAATTTGCCAATAACAGCACAAAGGAGGTGAATGGAAGCGAAGCTGTATTGGGCTAAGGGAATGAAAACAGATAGTAGCATAATAATCACACAATGTACTTTTGGGTTTGTAACATTATGTAGACAATAATACCATAAAAAGGGGGAAAGGGACTAGGGATATATAGGAATAATGTTTCTATATTTCACTGGAATTAAGTTAGTATAAATTGGAAGCTGATTCTGATTAGGTAAAAGGTATTTTGTAAGCCCTAAAAGAACCTCTGAAAACAAACAGCAATGACAACAAATGAAAAGTATGCAGTGAAAACAATCATTAAAGAAGTCATAGATTATGGAAGGGGCATGGTTTTAAACAAAACTGAAATAATTCATTAGAAAATATTTACTTAGGCTGGGCTCAGTGGCTCATGCCTGTAATTCCAGCACTTTAGGAGACAGAGGCAAGAAGATTGTCTGAGTCCAAGGGTTCAAGATTGCCTGGGCAACTTGGCAAGACTTTGTCTCTACAATAAGTCAAAAAATTAGCTAGGCGTGGTGGTGTGCACTTGTAGTTCCAGCTACTTGGAAGGCTGAGGTGGAAGGATCACCTGAGCCCAGAAGGTGGAGGCTGCAGTGACTGTGAGCATGCCTGTGTACTTCAGCCTGGGTGACAGAGTGAGACTCCAACTCAAAAAAAAAAAGAAAGAAAAAAGAAAATATTTACTTAATGAAAGAAAACAGTAAAGTATAAATAGAAGAACAAAAAAGACACAAGACACACAGAAAACAAAAAATAAATGGTAGTTGTAAATCCAACTGTGTCAATAATAACATCAAATGTGAGTGGATTGAACAAACCAGACAAAAGGTAAAGATTCTCTGTCTGAGGCTGGGTGCAGTGACTTACTCCTATAATCCCAGCACTTTGGGAGGTCATGGCGAGGGGGTTGCCTGAGTTCAAGAGTTTGAGACCAGTCTGGGCAACTTGGTGAGACCTTGTCTCTACAAGAAAATAAAAAAATTAGCCAGGAATGGTGGTGTGTGCCTATAGTTCCAGCTACTTGGAAGATTGAGGCGGAAGGATCACCTGAGCCCAACAGGTCAAGGCTGCGGTGGCCATGAGCATCCACTGCACTCCAGCCTGGGCGACAGAGTGAGAGTCCAGCTCAAAAAAAAAAAAAAAAAGGATTCTGAGACTGGATTTTTATTTTATTTTTTTGAGCTGGACTCTCACTCTGTCGCCCAGGCTGGAGT